AAAAAAAAAAAGGCTAGAAATGTTACACAGATAACATACATTTCCTAAATTTTTTTAGCATTCTTTTTAGTCCTCAAAAATAATCATGAGAAATTAATAAAGAAAACAAAGTTTTTATGGAAACAGTGTTTGAATTTACCATGTATAAACAGAATGTGTCTCAGATACATAGAAGTTATGTGCTTTTCCATACTAGTAATTGGAAAAATTAATTTTGTAAGTTTTTTTACCTAAATTTTAGAAGAAAAGCAGATTATAGTGCCTTCAATACTGAACTGGTCCCTATGGAAGTTCATACAATTTGTACATATGATAAGCTATACTGCTGTTTCATTTCCAATAACAGTACAATAATTTTAATGTTCTGTATTTTTTTTTCTGTCTTCCCCTAACTTCTATTGTACATTAAGAAATTTAAACGCAGTTCTCATATAGAGCCTCATGAAACTAATCATTCCCGGTTGTTTTATATTTTTGGCTATCAATTTCTCATATATATATATACACACACACACACACACACACACTTCAGTGAAAATAGTGTATAATAGCTACAACTGAGTTTAAAAGTGTTAAGTATTTATAAACAGTTATCAAAAATCTTAGGTTAAAAATCCTTTTTAAATGTATCATCAAATGTATTAAATATATACATGCACACATGTGCCCTTCTGTGATGACCTTTAACTTCGCAGTGCTATCTGTGAAACCCAAATGAGCTGCTATAGTGCAGACCACTTTTCCCCCATTATTTTATAAAAGCTGTGTGGGTCATAGTACTTTTCCTTTAATAAGTCTGTGGTCTTGCATTTGACTTTGTACTTGATCACAGACCTGGTGTTACTAGAAGAAACTAGTTTTAATGATGTCCACATTCCCTTTTTTTTGTGTGAAGATTGCCAGGTAAATGCCTGATTCCTCAAAGCTAAACATCAAACTGTAATCCAAAGATTCAAATAGGAGGCCCTATCTATTCCCTTTTTTGGTTCAGTTTTAAGTTTAAAATTCTACCCCTACATAAAGAACATTTTGTACATGAAAGTTTGTAGATGTTTGAAAAGTATGTATGTTCTTTGGACTTGGACATTAGTAAAGGTTCCTTAGTGGTAACACTTTGCTTTTCTTTTTTTAGATATGGGAAAATCGTCTCCACAAAGGCAATTTTGGATAAGACAACGAACAAATGCAAAGGTATGTTTCCTTGACTAATGATTTACAAAATCATAGGTTTAGGAAAATGAAATTTTATTCCTAGTCTTTGGTTTCAAAGCCAACTCTGTTTTATTAAAAACCAAATCTTATATGTCACCAGTTTCTGTCTTGCACAATGTCAATGTGCTGCTTACATTTGTCCCTAGTCAAGTTTTGGCTGGAAACACAAAAACAGCGATTAGTTTGCCAGAATTCCAGATTTGACGCCAGTGGAGTTAACATGCATAATACTAGTTGGCATTTAGCCCCTGCTTTTAAAAGGGGAGTAGAGTTAGAAAATAGCTTTTCTTTCCTGAGCCTGAGGAGATTAGAGCTGCTGACTGAAGACCATTGGACTGTATACTAAAGAACTGAAAAGATTACATATTGTGCAAATTGGCTCTATTAATTAGAATAGAGTAGTTTTAAGCAGTACTTAATTACATGTTTCAATACACCCAATTGTTCTCTGCTGAATGCCTGTTGACAATATTGGCAGCAGGGAGGAGAGAACCATTTTCACTGACCAGATTGTAACAGGGAGGAGAGGTCATACACCCCTTTGAAATATGCTGCTGCATTAATTTGATGCACTGACCTTCAGTTTTGTGTGTAATTAGGATGAGCTCATCCAGCTCCCTGAGCTGGAAGAAGAGGCTTCTACAGTAGGCAGCCCCAGTGTGTGCGCCTCTGACTTAACAATAGGCATGTGATTTCTAGGAAAAGGAAAGAATGGGGTCAGCTGACTTTGAGGCTAAATACTGACCCCATGAATTGAAATAAGGTTGACAGAAATAGGCAGAGAAGGCAAATCTCCTCATTAATTAGACTCTAGTTTTTCAAGTAGCAGTGATGACTGTGTCTTAACACAATCTGAAAAAGGCAAAGAACAGAAATGAGCCCTATGTAGGGCCTTGCCTTAGAAGCTAGCCCTTTGCTTTAATCTAGACTTGAAGTGGCTCATTGTATATATGTCTCTTCTTAAAGCTCCTAAATTTAAAGGCATTGTTGTGACAAATATCTAAGCCCATGTTTAATCAGCAGGGCACATTTAAGACAGTGTTGCCTTGGGAGAGTGAATAGAGCAGTGCTTTATGGAGAGTGATATTCTATAAATATTTTAAATGTCAAATTGTAGACTAAAATGTATATACTTAGTTGCCAAGATGAGTCTTACTTAACATATTTATCTCAGTGATTTGGGAGGGCAGAAATCTTTTGATTTTCTAAAGAAAGATGGACTTTTGCTGGCAAAAACAAGAAGCTGATCTCTAACATTTCTTTCAAAACCGAGAGAAATTACAGTAGGCAAGTGGTTTTATAGCCTAGTAAATATAAATCTTAACACCTCAGATCAGTGTGTTAAATCACAGGGCTGCCCTACGTAAGTGGGTGCTGGGATGCGTGGCCTCCCTGGTTGCATTCTCCATCCAACCACTGAACTGAGAAATTTACGTTCTTTTCCAGTGCAAAACTATTCTCTAGGAGCCAGAATTATACCGAATACTCAGCATGATCTAAAATACTACCTTTAAGCTTAATACTGTAATACAAACCCCTTATAATTAGAAAATGTCCAACAATAAGTGCAGAAATGTTTGGGGCTTTGAAATAGGAGTTGAAGTGACTCAGAACTTGATTTTTGATATAACATCTCCTGGAACTCTCACTTAAAACAGGTCTCAGGATAACTGCCTCATGGGGTTGGGGTAGTCAAGTAGAGCTACCCCAGGGCTCTCAGCCCTGTCAGGCAAGTTTCTCAGCAGTAGGTGTCAACAGATTTCTCCTGGGTGGGTGAGGGAAAAGAGTAAGCATGAATGGGTTTATAAATTCCTCAAAGTGAGGGAGAACTCCTTAAAATTTCAGGACAAACGACAAGAAATAACATTTAATGTAGCTCATGATCAAGATCAATAACATGTTATCAGTAAAGTAAGGTTAGGTAGATGAAGGGGTAAATATAGACAGATTGCTGCATAAGATATCATAGAGTACGGGGTAAAAATGAGAAGTTCTTGTGTTTTGTACTTTGTATTACTTGTGGTCTGTGTTTTTTTTTTGTTTTTTTTTTTTAAGACTGAACAAATCAAAGAATTTTATAACGAAATGAGAAATACTAGCAGTCACAGAACATTTTTGTCACAAAACATTCTGGAGCTGACAACCACGAGACAAAATTTAGCTGAAGGAGTAATTGCTCTGAATAACATGTACCTTAGCTATTAAATTTTTAAAAGTCACAATTCAGTTGCTTTTTTACATTTCATTTTTTGTCAGTTTTAGCCAAAAAAGATATCTAAATGATTCCCCACACTGTTGTCTGTGGCAGTTCAGCCCCCACCCCAGAAAAAAAAAAAAAAAAACACCTCACAAAGACTGTGACACTGCTTAAGTACTAATTAATGTTCAGAGTTTGGAACAAAACCAGAACATACACTGTCATCCATGCACACATACAATTGTGCACATATAGAGTTGAGGAGGAAAAAAAATCAGAGGAAAATAAAAGCAAGAGCAGGAAATCTCAGGCTATTAGAGGGGCCCTTTGTTTGCTGGTATTAAAGCAGAAGTAGAATACATAAATTCAATCATCACAAAGGGCAGGAAATCTAGAAGGCAGCAGTCAGTTGTCATCTTGAGATCTGAGGAAAGTCCTCCTGGGGACCCAGTCAGAGAGTGCTGTGTGATTAGTGGATTCCACCTTCATTTTAAAACAACTTTGTACAATTTATATAATGAAACCCACTGAGCCCATGTAACCTAATTTTACGTAGTCTTATATTTACTTTAAAGTAATGGTATAAGAGAAAATAGGAAAGCACATGCTTCTGTTATCTTTGTTTTCAGCAAATATTTATGAAACAGCTACATGGAAAAGCCAGAAATGGATATAAACAATTCATTAAAATAGAACCATTTTGGATTTTTCGTAACAAGAAAATAACATAATATTAGTAGTACCTGGGTGGATAATAGCTTTTGAGATGTTCTGTTTAATATAATTTATTAACAACAGTAAAACTGGGGGGCAAAATTAAATATCCATTATTTAAAATTATATCATTTCAGTGTAGCTGGGTGTTCATTTATGATCTGCTAAAATTGTATTTGGTAATAAAATATGTATGAGCTCCTGTGTGTGTCTCTGTAGAGGTTTGGCAAATTAGCATTAACAGTGGATTTCTAAAATCATCTAAAATATGTTTAACCTAATTTCCAACCTGGCATTTGAGAAGTATTCTCTACTTTTACCTGGATCAACCTCTTCTTTTCCGGTCCAGCCTGGCTATTTCCCCACTGTCTAAATCAAATTAAACCTACTTCAATCCAATTTCAAGTAACATAAGGAAGCTGCTTCTTGCTTCGGCTTTAACACTCATTTCTCCTAAAACATCTATTTCTGTAATTGATAGTCTACTCTATTTCATTACAACTTATTTTGTTACCAGGCAATATTTTTGGCACTAATACTGCAAATTGACCTTTGGACTATTTCTGAGCTTTCTGTTTAGCCTTCTTGATATGTATATTTGTCTGTATTGATGCCTACCCTGCTATCAAAATTACTGTATCTTTGTAATATCTATAAAATATTAGGGCCTATCTCTCCTTTATGCAACTTCCAAATAATACTTTTCTTTTTTCAAAATGTTCTTATTCATGTAAAATTAGTTTTATAATAGGTTTAGCTTTTCAGAAAATTTCTGTTGATATTTTTGTCTGGCACTCTGATCTTTTAAATGATGTACTAAATATAATTTAACCTTTTCTTAATAGCTTCAGAGTTCTCACAATGAAAAATCAGTGATAGCCTGCTTCAATAGCACTGTACTCATGGGGTCAGTTGAGATTTATGGGGCTGTTTGATCTTCTATTGCATAAGTCCTATTCTTTGTATAATTTTTCCCTTTTATTGCTTGCTATTAATTTTCACTGCTGGATACCATCCATATGCTTATTTTGTATAAGGGATACCCAACCCAGCCCCTTTCCCCTGATTTCCTGCTTTTGATTGTAGTGGCCAGAGAAAACAGATGACCATCTTGTTTAAAATGTTTGTAAAGCTATGGATAAATAAGCTTTGAACTAGGGCCTCTTTTAGAAGGTTGTTTGTTTTGTTATGTAATTTTTAGACTTTAGGGCATGAACTGCTGAAACAGCTATTTTGGGTATTTAGGAGGTAGAACCCATTTCTTTTGAAGGGAGATCATGAGCTATATTTTTAGGTAAATAAGTAATGACATTCTTAGCCAATAACTAAAGTTTAGATCATTTATATTTTACCTATCTCATGAGTGTAGTTAACTTGAAAAATAAAGCTTAGTCTCCAGAGTAAGCACTTTGTTTCTGTCCTCAGTTCTGTAGGATGGCTCCATCTTTCTTACAGAAGTGTAAAAATGCTGTTTCTCTGAAGTTGATTGCTCTCCTTTTTTTAAACATTGGTTGGTAACTGAAATGTCTCCCCGCCCCCACCTTTTTCAATAACTATAGGACACCTGAGAAAGAAATCTGGAAAAGCTGTGTGTGTGGCATTTTTTACTTAGAAGGGAAAGTTCTAAGTAAAACAGGGATGGGTCCACGTAGGAAAACACAGCTTGGTGGCTGTTAAAGCTTGAGACCTGTCAGGACCTCAGAGTTTTGTTTCTGTTGCATAAAGTCAGAAACCATATATATCATAAAATAATATCTTATAAATGTGTTCTATGTTTCAGGTTACGGTTTTGTCGACTTTGATAGTCCCGCAGCAGCTCAGAAAGCTGTGTCCGCCCTAAAGGCCAGTGGGGTTCAAGCTCAAATGGCAAAGGTAAGTTGAGATCCTGCAGTGGCTTCTTTTGTCCTGGGCTTTGGTCCTGAGGCTGACACATTGCTTTTCCTGTGACAGTTCCATTCCCCTCTCTCCCACGTAGCCGCCATTGCTTACTTCTGGACAGTGCCTGCAGGTCCTTAACAGTAGTGATTGTCCCAGACAGCTCCTCATAATTTTACATGTGAAGAGAGGGTCTTATAAATATGTGAGTTTCACAGAGCACATTATATAAACCCATAATTTAACTGAGAAATAACACCAGACTTTCTCAGGTAATCAGGTATTTGTGGATTGAAAGTGTATACTGTTCAAATAATAATAATAATAATATGTGTTGAAAGAATTAAAACATTTTAGAAACACTTAAGATATTATGTATAGAATGTTATTCTGAAAAACATAACAATCTACCTTAGCAATACTTTGCTATATAAATATACTTTATACAACTTTATATGCTTTATGCAACCTTACTAGTAGTTTTAATGTAAGGGACAGGTACAATTTTTCTGTACAAAAGTCATAAATCTACTCTTAGTCACGTAGTAACTCAAGTTCTGATAAACTTAGTGTTCTAAATGAGCAGTACTATTGAACTGATACTTGTGCCCATTTTTATTGTCCAAATATAAACTGGGGTTATATTGTTGTACCTATTGCCTATAGTGTACTTACGATAGTCCTATAATTTTGTAGCTTTTTCCTTATTTCTGGCCCTTGTATTGCTGTGGAAAATATTTTCATGTGAAAAACTCAGAAGTTTGACACTTGTTCATCTTTTGAAAAGAATATACCATTTTATATTAGTTTTTTTCTCTTGATGTACAGAGGAAAGTCATTTTTGTGCCGTCCTCTGCTACTTGTCAATCCGAGGAACAGGCACATTTTCATAAAAAAAGATTTAGGGAACTTAAAAAACTCTGATAAAGTGTTTAGTTACCTCCTAAGACTTTAAGGCAAATCATAGGACATACATGCAGCTAGCAAGATAGAGATTTTCCCTAAATAAAAGAATCAATGTAAATAAAGATCTCAGGAATTATGGAAGGAATCACCTTTTAAAGTTGTCCTTGACTTTTAATATTTTTAAAGCTTTGGATTGAGTTGGAATTATTTTAGATCTTTTTGAACTCTAGGGTAAAAAGTTAAACAGAAACTGTAAATATCAAGCACCATGGTTTTCAGATTATTCGTCCATAGTATCGAGCAGTTCCCTGTGGCACTGCTGAAAGACAGTGATTATGAGGTTTAAATATGTTTATGAATATATTAAATATATTCACAAATATTTAATACATCTTTGAAATAGTTATTGTAATACCTATGTTGCATGATAATGTACAGAATGTTTGATCTGCCTCTGTAAACAATGAATAGTATCATACAGTTAAAAAAATCTGTGCCCTACAGAATTTTCTCTGTCCATTTATTTGAACCCACTCTTTAGAGCTCCTGCTTCCTGCTCAGGTGGATCTAGGGCAGAACCCATGGCATTCTGATTACTCTCTTCAGGTCTTCCTGGTTTGGTTTTGTAGAATGCCTCTTTTCATATCTAGACTTCATGGGACATTAAGTACCTTATGGTACTTTTTCACCCATTTCTATCTATTAATTCTGGCCTCAATCAAGTATTTTAAATGAAACATTGCATAGGGAAAGTCTTATGTTATATGGGAATCATGTCAAGGTTTTGAGAACTCTGCCAAGAGATAGAAAAGGGGATATGTATATTGGATATTTCTGGTACTGAGAAAAATTACTGCTATTAAAGTAGTTTTCTCCTAACTGCGTTATTATTTGGTAATTAGGAAAAAGCATTTTAAAGGTTTATAACCTACCATCATTTATTATGTCGTTACACATAGGAATCTGTAGCATATTTACATATTTTTTTGGAAATTGTGGAAGAAAGGAAGTATTTGGCTATATTTCAGGAAGTTGGGGATTGTAACATAGTTTTTTCCTATTTAAAATAATAAGTTCTAGTTAACAGTTTGAGATGACTATTACTCATGTGTGGTGCTTATAACTTAAATGTCCAATTGTACTTATTTTGTATACTATGTAACATTAAATCTCTTGCCTTTTCCCTGGCTAAGGTCTACTCCTAGCAGTAAGCCTATCCAGGGAATAGTGGCATAGTCATTTCTTCCGTATTTTAAACTTGTAGTTTCAAACCCCTTCATGGCTGGAGCAATGGTAAAGGATGGGAAAGATTTTTTTGGTCTTGATAGGATACACAGGATACTGTCCTGTACCCACCTGGATTCTTCTAGGGCTACACAAATAATCAAAACATCAAACAGGATAGCATAGAAAAAAATCAATTTAATGACAATGTATGGAGAATTACAAGGTTAAATTCTATTAGAATGGAGCAGACCAAGGATACTTATCTAATGTGTAGGGACCTGGGACATGCAGGAGAAGAGAGAGAGAAAATTTCATATAACACAAAGGAATTTACCTCATCCTTATTCTGACAGTAAAGATGAGATTGATAGAAGGAAAATGTTCACTGATTTAACCTTCAACTGGCTGAGACCTCCCAACAACATTCTTTTAGGTTATAAAAGGGGGAAGTAGTGATTGCTTATTCGATTAGGAGAAGGGCAGAAGTTTAGGATGTGAATATTCCTTTGAGTAGGTGCAGGACTTCAACAAAGACAGAAATTTCAGGGCCCTCACTACTCAAAACAATCTGCATTCTTTAATGGTGTATAAGACCTGAACTGGGGCCTCAGTTACCCTCTAGTTCCTATATATAGGCAACAGTAGTTCTACTCTGGGCATATTGAGAGAAGCCTGTCTGACCCTAAGGGAGACAGACCCTACAATCTCACACTGACATAATCAGGTACTGATTTCTCTTGTCAAGCAAAAAAACAAAAGCTGGCACTTTTTTCCTGGATTGCTTTGGGAGTTTTCTAGAGATCCCTTAACTTCTTTTCCTTCCCTGACTTCTCTCCCCTGCCCCTCTTACTTGTGGCTCCTTGGAGGTAGAGAATGTGTCTTCAAGGCATCCTTGTTAGAAAGCTGCAACAATGGTCTGGCATGGTCCTCAACTATATTTGTCATCTCTCTGTGAGAAAGTAGTTTTAGGTCGTTTCAGCCAGCCCTTTGTCCTTTAAGATTTCTCAGGTTGAGTGGAACATTGGTCCATTGTATCTACCTTGCTCCATGGACACAGGTCAAACCTTAAAGTGGTCTGTGCAGCTGTCCATCTGGCTTCAATGGCAGTGACAGGGAAATGGCGCAGATGGTGCGTCTACTATTCTCGCCACGTAAATGCTCAATCTCTTAGACAGGATGTGGGTGGTCAGCTACGCTTCCCCAGCCAGCTCTAATGCAAGCTCTTTAGGTGGTCTGGTTTTTCACTCTGGAATGTGGGAGTGCCTTTCACCCATTGCCTCTGCAGAAACAGTTAGAAAAAAAATCCTGTTTTAACAACCTGCCACAAATGCAGGCGCCTTATTTAGAGCACTTACTTAGACATCTCTAAGTAGTACTCTGTGAGGCATTTAGTCAAAACTGGACTGGGTAGAGCTGGCTCTGTGTTATGAAAGCTGTGCACCTTGAGTGCAGATTCCTCTTGGGTCGATCATGAGTGCTGTGTTCTAAGACATCCTCAGGATCTTTAGTCAATTGACGAAGAAAAGGAAGGATGAACAGATTCAGAAATTTTGGTGGTAAGCCGAAAGACCATACTTAATGAATTTCTTCAGGTTTCTGTAAAATGACTGAGTTTCCTGAACTCAGTTTTGTTTTTATTCTATCATTGGAGTTATGAAAGGTATTTTACATGCTAGAGGGTTCACTGTCATGTACCACATAGTATCTGTAGTGGTACTGTCTGAAAAAGGAGCAAAAATAGGTGGTACACATCTTAAAAGAACTTTAGATTTGTTTCTTAAGGTTGGGCAATAGGGGATCTACCACCGCCCACTTCCCGCTAGTGAATTAGTCACCATACACTAAGTTTTGAATATTTATGTTGTCATATTTGAAAGGCTTGTTTTATGTAATCAGAAAAAATGTAGGGAGTTTTCAACAAGGGGAGTAGGGGGGTGATGAAACTAAATTGCCAAACTACAGCTGGAGCGCTGCTGTAGGCAGTAGTGATTGTTTCTTATTCCTGCTTTAATTTTCAGTTCCTTGTTCGGTACCTGGCATATGGTAGATATTAAGTTTTGCTGATGATCAAAGAAGCTAATTTAGTGAGAGAAAAATCTTCTTCCCAGCTTGGGCAGATACTGAGAATTAAGAATAAGACATGTAAAAATTTATTGAGTTCCCTCAATCAAGTACCCAACTAAACTTACTAAGAGGTTTTCCAAAAAGCTCAAGGCCATTTCTGTTTACATTGAACTTGGCATTTTTCACAAATGTGTGCATTTTCAAAATAAAAAGCTCCCAATCTATGAAAGAAGAGAAAATCATCCTTAGTGCTATCTGTTAATACAGTGGTTTCAGTGGGCCTTTCAGCAGTACCTCCTTTGGCCTGCTGGGGGTCAGTGAATCACTGGAAGTTATCTGGCTAATAGTAAGCTTGCCCTCCTTCCTCTCAGTAAAGAGGCAGTCAAAGGAGCAGGAATTTAATCCCCCTTCCTCACAGAGGTCCACCGTGCTTCAAGCCATTTGCATTCACATGCCCGTAAGCAGCTATCTGCTGGTTGGTGAACCTATTCAGTACAAGAGAAAACAGATGTCTGGTCTTCCTGCCAAGTCTCTTTCTTGCATTTTAGGAACCAGTCCACACGCACAGGGAGGTTTTTGTTAATTTCTTTCAGATGATGACTGAGTGCTTTACACCAAGCAGGACTTGGGAGACCAGCTTTTCTACTCAAGTGAGCATTGGCCATGAGAGGGCTAAATGGCTGCTAATGTGGGATCTAGTTTTCTACTTGTTAGAGAAGCCATTGAACCCTTTCCATGCCTAGGGATATAGAGAGGCTCGCTGGCCCCATTTTTATGTTTGGCCACCCATAATTTACAGAATAATTATTTTCTCAGACATAGCATTGTATGTAATAAAACAGAGTTATGGCTATTGCTGATTTTAAAGAAACTAAATTACCTTCATTCAAGAACCACTCAGTGTGAGTGTATGGTAATTAGAATACAAGGACACATTGGGGATTAGGTACTTCTGTGGTCAGTGCTGCCAGTTTGGAGTTCCTTCTTATTTGTTTTTAATTATATAACTTTGTGGGCACTATTGCAGGTTAAATCCATCATTTGGAAAGAAAGAAACCTAATTGTTCAAGTTATTACTGTTGAAAACACACACACATTACATTAAAATCATAAGAAATAGTTACCTGTATTGAATCTTCTCATTTTTCAGCTCAATTTGTTTCTGGATTTTAATGTTAACTTTTTATCATTGGTTAACTTTCAAATTGAAGCAAGACTTTATTAATATTACAGTAATATAAGCAACTAAAACACAGATTTAGAAGGTATTTAGTACCTACATTGTCAACTCTCTAAAAATATTTCACATGACAAATTCTCCCATGAATGTAAATAGGTGCTTTATTTTATAATTGTACCTGTAAAAGCCCACAATATTTGTTTCTCATGAAACATTTCAGTGACATATCTTTGTCCCAAGAGTATTTAGCACACTTTAATTAGGGAGTCCCCAGCTTTATTACAAATCTGGCTTAACATGATTCAGAAATCTGTGTAATAAATAGGTTGGATCAAATCACTGCCCCACTTCCATACCCCCGAAATTCCCCACGTTTAGAGCGTGATGTTCAGTGCAGTGTAAGCATGTTGGTGGCTCTTCCTGCCTCCCCTCACCCCTACCAGAAGACATGAAATCACAGGGTTAAACATTATTTGCATCAGTTAGGTTAGAAATATTTCTATATTAAAATAAATTTGAACAGTTTGGGAGCAGATTGCAAAAATTTACATGACTTATAAAAGATAAAACACAAGGAAATTTTGCAGCCTTGGTAAGGCTGCTCTCACCAGCAGACATTAGGAAAGTCATTGCCCTTGCTGGTTACATTGCTTATGTGGGAAAATTGAAGCAGCAATGACGAAAAATAAAAATCAAACTTGTCAACTAACCTTTCACAATGTGGTTTCAGCCCCCATGTCTTCCGTTTGTTTCTCAAGTTCAGTGCCATGCCCTCTGAAAGTCTTCCCTAATCTTCTTAAAACAAGCTTTTCTGTCACCTCCCATTGTGGTCTGTACACATCTCTGTTTTAGTATAGCATTCATGTTTGTGCATCCCCTGCTTAAGTGTAAGCTGCTGCTGGGACTGGCATTATAGATATTTTGTACTGATGGCCTGGGGTGTGGGAGAGGTCTGACTGCTTTGAGCTTGTAGGGGACCATCTCTAGGGAGAAAGGAGCACTCTGTGTTGGCTGATTAGAACCACACTTCCTTAGGCACAGATATGCTTTTTTCTACTCCAAGAGCATTTCAGGGAGTTGGGAGTTAGAGCCAACAAAAGATAGCTAATTGAGTTGCTGTAAGAAATTAATTGAACAGAGTTGGTGGAAAATAGTTTTTGAAACCTTAATACCTATGATCGTTTCACTTTCCCCTGTATTTTGAAGCACTTTCTGTCATTGTCCTGTATTTATTAAACAAATGTGTCAAAAGATACCTTGTGTATCAATAGCATGCTTTGCTCAGTGTAAGATAAGCAGTAGTAACAAAATGACTTACCTAATTTCAAGTTAAAGCATAAATAGTTGTCATTTTGTTTAGTCCTTTGAGGGCTAATGAAGAGACATACTCAATTTACCATTGAGTATTTGAAATTTTTAAATTGTTTCTTATACCCACCCACACTGAGAGCCTGTGCTCTGTACCTTTGGGGATGTACTGGTCACATGCTGCGGCCTCTGTCAGGACCAGAAAGCCAGAAGGAGAGTGTTGTTCATTAATTCTTGGAATATGAGGGAATCTGCCCATTCCTGAGGATATCAGATTATTGTTGAAATCTTACAAGATAAGTGTAGCACGAAAGAGCAGTGTTTACCTTTACTTGCAGGTTATATAAAAGGAAAAGTTTCTTTTCAGATGTAGCTAATGCTGGGGTACATATGAAAGTAGAGAGCGTACAAAGTCACACATGCATCTGTTTCACATCTATTTTAAGGACTGTGCATTTGGGGAATCAAAATACAGTGAGTACACTATTCTAGTCCCTAATGTTAATACGACAATTTAAATGACATTATTAATAGTGCTTATTGAACAAAAATAGTAAGTTTGCACTGTTCATTATGTGAGGAAAGCCTGATTTAACAACTATCCTAATCTTAAAATTGCAAAGGTGAATTTTGGTTTGGTCAAAAAATATCCCAGTGTAATGTTTTTCCCTGGTGATTTAACACCATACTCTTAGTGAAATGCACATAATAGTTAATGGCGCTCAGAAAATTCAGTTGCTATCTTTGGTTTCAACTGATTTTACCTCAGTGGGAAATGAGCTAATCATTGCTTTTGGGGACTTTCTGATGCTTATGAATCCCCTGAAAAATCTCATTAAAAAGCAGCTTCCAGGATGGAGTCTTTATTTCTAATAAGCTTGCAAGTAATTCCAATTGGCTATTGGGTCTTTGAGTAACCAGGAAATGGAAGGGGAAAAAAAAAACCCAAACACCTTTCCATCTGCTTCTGAGTTCAGTTTTACCCAGATTCCAAAATCCACTCTGCCCACAGTTTACACCATTTTTATAGTTTTCAGTTTTGGCGGATGTGGGAGCTCTCCTTTTCCTATTGATCATGACTCAAACAGTAATAAGATCTCTGCTGTAGAGCATAGGGGCATTTGAACAAAGCCAATACTGGATTTTAGATGACTTGATCCACAAATTGTCATTATGCCTCTGGATTGAATTATTAGCAGTAATAGCCTCCTGTGCAATAGTGTGCCTGAAATGGACTCCTAAAAATAGTAGCAGAGGAGAGGTTGGTTATTTTGGGAATGCTGCTAATAGCTGAGCGTTGTGGTTCTATGAGGGCATCCTCCCCAACTGAGCAGCGCCTGCCAGCAGTTCCACTTCCAGATCTGCTAAGCATGGCTCTGTGGGATCATGTCTGTACCGCACAGATTGTCCAAGCTTCAAACATTATTTTCAAGTGTCCAAGGTGACACTTGGATATTCCGAAGTTCCTATGATTTCATTTTTAAAGGACCTGAGCAAGGAGAGTGGCTAAATAAAAGTTGGTGTGTTAACTATTTCACCTTCTATTGGAAATTGACAATTCTGTTATGTTTTAGCAACAGGAACAAGATCCTACCAACCTGTACATTTCCAATTTGCCACTGTCCATGGATGAGCAAGAGCTTGAAAATATGCTCAAACCATTTGGACAGGTTATTTCTACAAGGATACTGCGTGATTCCAGTGGTACAAGTCGTGGTGTTGGCTTTGCTAGGTAAGTATGTGACACTATGTCAAAAACATTCGTGCTGCTAAATTTCCTGGAAAATAAAACTAGAGCAAGAAGAAAACAATTGAGCCAGAGTTATGCAGCCAGTTGCACCAAATGTTGGTTTGCACTTTCACAGATCATTTGGAAGTCTGTTAGGATACTTAAACCTAAAATATTTACCTGAACAGTAAATCTTTTGTGACTCAGAACATGAAAATACCACATGAGCAATAGTTTGAAAGTATAACCTTAATATTCTGACTGATAAGACCAGGGTGCCTGTAATATAACAGTTGCAGCCTCCTAAACTTTTTTTTTTTTAAAGATTTATTTATTTGTGCATACAGAACTGGGGTACAGGCCAGAGGCTCAGGAGCGGGGAGAGGCTTCACCAGAGACAGAGCAGGGAACAGAACAGGCAGATCTGCTGAGGGGAGCAGCGGGCGGGTCAGGAGAGATCTGCCATGCCATGTGGATCTCCTACAGGGCAGGTGGGAATCGAACTCATGCAGAAGTGGCTTCAGCTTCTCAGTGCTGTGCTTTAACCCGCTGCGCCACCAGGGAGGGCCCTAAACTTTTTAAGTAAATTAGTATGTTTTCTCAAGCAAAGATTTGATTCATCATCAGTCCTAGTCAGTGATTAAGATTTTAAAGTGAATAATTCAGAAAATAAAGCATTAATAGGTATGGTACTAATTTAATCACCAATTGGTATGCTAGCTCCAACATTTTATAACATCAGTTCAGATTCTTTTTTTTTTTTTAAAGTAAAATGTAGGTAATTGTCCCACTCATTCCATTTTATTTTTAATCCCTTACACCCTAGAAAGTATATGTCAGTATAGTGCTTAGTTTGGTTTCTAAAGGAAAAAATCCTAAATAGGAGTCTTGATTTTTGATACAGTTCTGTTTCAAAAGTCCATGTCCAAAGCCTAACCTTACATGATGCATTATTATTATACTCTCTACATGCTTTCAATTATTGACTCATTTTGAAGGAAAGATTTGCATATACATTGTCACATTTGCTGACAAGCATTATGTACAGTAGACTTTAAGATCAACAAAGCTAATCTCATTCCTGTTTTACATGTAAAAAAATTGAGATGTTTTCATGGGCTGCCAGATTATGAAGCAACATCTATTAATCTGTTCCTCTGGCTTTTCTAGTCCATTGTTCTTTCTGCTAGCCAGTTTTATAATGCTAGAATTCTACAGGTCCAAAATCTCCAGAGCTGCTTCAATCTCCAGTATACATTTCATGGTTAAAAGGATCCAGGTGAGTGCCCTCCCTGTTTTCGCAGCAGGTTAAAGCACAGTACTGAGAAGTTAAAGCCACTTCTGCATGAGTTCGATTCCTGCCTGCCCCGGAGGTGACCACATGGCGTGGCAGACCTCTACTGACCCACCCGCTGCTCCCCTCAGCAGTGTACTTCATAGATCTGCTTGTTCTGCTCCCCACTATGTCTCTGGTGAGGCCCCTGAGCCTCTGGTCTGTACCCCAGTTCTATATGCACAAATAAATAAATCTTAAAAAAAAAAAAAAAGGATCCAGGTGATACAATGAAAGACTTGGAGCCATTTAAAAATTGTCGATTCTGTGGGTGTTTTCTGAAAGTAGATCAAATTATTTCATTTGTATCTTAAAAATGCAACTCAATTCACTTCTGTTTAGTGTTTAGTAACAATTTTAAAAAGTAAGGTTTAACTCTGATTAGCCCAGGTATGTTATGCATTTTGAGATTATCTTATTTTTCTTTAATGGAAGAAACATTGAATGATTTTTAAAATTTCCTTGGAATGTTTCTTCTTAGTGTTTTTAGCCTCCAACAGATGTGGAGTAAGTCATCAAGCTTACATCCTGTAGTTATTCTTCTATAGTCAAAATGAAAAAGTTCATAATTGGCTTCTCTATGTTAATTTTAAACTTAAAATTAATGTAATAAATACAGCACTCTGATCAACAGTAGTTCTTATCATGACATCAAGTCTGTCATTTTGTGACTTAGTAAAAGGAAAGACCATCTTTAAAACAAGCAATATTCCCGCAAGTAGTAAATGCACAAGTATTTTAACCATTTGTTTTTATATCATTATCATAGCTAGAATAAATCTGTTGTGTATTGCTGGTTTTCTTACAAGTAGAAAAAAGCATATATTTAATATGCTTGATGTTAAATTCTGGATATAATTTGTTTCCTTTGTGATTCAGGCTGTAGTCTGTGGTTATCCGTTAGCATTTTGCAGTTAGGATTAAACAATTAGATAAGAGAATAAACTCATTTTGTTAGGTTGTATTTATATAAAATAAACCTATAGGAATATAATTCACATATACATATACAGAACTGAATGCTAAATACATGTTCTGTTTTTATATGCAAATAGGATGGAATCAACAGAAAAGTGTGAATCTGTTATTGGTCATTTTAATGGAAAATTTATTAAGACGCCACCTGGAGTTTCAGGTATGTTGTTTAAAATCTTATAAAAGACTACTGATAATGTGTATAATTTTAGCACCTTTTTGTCAAAAACAAACCAACCTGTTCATTTTGCTCTTTAAGCTATATTCCTTAGGCTCTAAAAACAAAACCTAAAAAAAAAACTCACCTTTCTCCTTACATCAGGTTTCAATATGAAGGCGGCCCACTGGTCAGAAGCTCTCTGACCTGCAGCAGCCTGTCCTCTAATCCACCTTATCACCTCCCTCAATAAATCTGTCACTCATCCTTTGAGGATTGTGGTTCTTTCCACTCTAGCTCCTACGTACGTCCTGAACAATTTCACCTCATGTTACTTACCACCCTCTCTGACCTGGTGATATCCCCTTTTCCAGTGCTGTTTTGCGTTACTGACCAAGATACGCCCCCTAAGGAGCTTTTTACCCCCACACTCATGTTCTGAAATAAAATAGGGCCCTTCCATTTCTTCTTTGGCCCTTCGTTGCCTCTTTCTTATCACTACCCAGGTCTGGTCACAACTGTCCAGCTTCACTGCTCCTGTCATACCTGGGCAGGTAGAGCCTGTCTTCAGCATCAACCATTCTTCCCTGAGAGTAGTTTGCAGAATTCACCGACCTCTGCAGTTCCCTCCCTGGCCTTAACCCCAACTCTGCACAGATGATTTTACTTTCTTCTTGATGAATAAAATTGAGGTCACCAGGTTGAAATGCCATCAACTTCCTGCTTCCTCCCAACAGAGACCTACACCATTCTTGATGCTCTCCTTCACTAAAGTCTTAAGGACAGGGCTTCAAAATTATAGCCTTGACCCCATCCCATGAGACCTTACTCTGCCAGTTCCCCCTTCCTCTCTTATAATTTCAGCCTGTTGTTTTTTTTTATCCAATTAATAAAAGATCTCTGGCAGGACAAAATTAGAGAAAAATGTACAAGTAAACAATATGAGGATTAAAATGTGAGCGTGACAACAACAGGCATCTTTAAAATTATAGAATATGTTGAACAAAAAAGGCAAAAAAGGCTGTCCATACTTTTAAATTACAAAAAAAAAAAAACTCTAGAAAAATCTACTTGGTTCAGATTTCTGTGATTGAACTAGCTGTCACTGTGTTCCTCTCTAGGTCCTTCTCATGTAAATAAACCTTTCAAAAGTAGTCCTTATTCCCTCACCTCTTGTTTACATCTCATTTGCCTCTTGATAAATTTCCTCTCTGAGTCTGTGGGGCTAGTATGACAAAGTACCACAACCTGGGTGGCTTAAGTAGAAGCATATTGTCTCACAGTTCTGGAAACTGGAAGTCCAAGGTCAAGGTGTCATTAGAATTGGTGCCTAGTGAGGCCGATGTGGAAGGATCTATTTTAGACATATCCCCCTCGCCCCCACCATGGTTTATAGATGACTCTTCTGTGAGTCTTCACCTCTTTACTCTATGCTTATCTGTCTCAGGTGTGTCCATTTCCCTCTTCTACGGACACCAGTCACTGGATTCAGACCAAGCTAATATCTCCTTTTAAAGTCCTACCTCTACCTAAAGTCACATTCTGAAATACTGAGAGGTAAAACATCTTTTTGTGGGAAGGGGAGAGCAGTGGAGGGGACACAATTCGAGTCATAACATATATATCCTGTTTATCAGATGGGGAGGGACTCCATTTTTGTAATGCTGTTTCTGTGTTCATGCAGCTCAAATCCCTCATTTGTTGCTTGATTTCTCTTCACCTGTCTCTATTTTCCTCTCATCTTGTGTTAATTCCTTCTCTATGGTCTCGTTTCTTCCTTGTACTGTATACTCTAATGATTTGTTTCCCTGAATTCTATTCTTGGCTTACAATTCTGATAGATTGTTATTCACTCTCAAGATTTCAGTTACTACTTCTGTTCAGATGACCCAACATTCATCTCCTATCCTGGCTTTTCTCCTGAGCCGCAGGCTCTCTGGCTTGAACCACACTCAGGCTGCCTGACCTCAGTTACCTGACATTCCTGCCTTTTAAAACTTAATTACTTCCCCTCACCACCTAGTCCTACTCCTCTTCCAATTTGTCCTTATTTCGGTTAGTGTAACCAACATCCACTCAGGCACCAAGCCAGAACTGAGGACTGAATCATTCTGGGTACCTCCTCCCTTTCTATCCATCATCTCTCACACACAGTCATTCTTGTATTTCTTCCTGATTATTTCTAAAATCTTCCCTTTCCCATCCTTGCCTCCTACCACGGCCTAGTTTAATCCCTTATCTCTTACCTTCACCCTCACAACTCTCTCCTAATTTCTTACTCTATCTCTAGTCCTTCCTTTCTCAGAAATCCTGACTTCAGCCCAGAGATTTTGGTAAAACACTGGCCCCATTGTCACTTGCCCTGCACGGAACAGATCCAGGGGCCCTAAAGAGACAGGGAGGGGCTTTTGTCTACATCTTCAGTCCTGTCTCCCTGAGATCCCTGACTCCCTGGTGATCCTCTCCACTGCTGAACTCAAATTCCTCATACCCCATGTGACTGCATTTCTTTTTCCTGCAAGGACTCTGGGATGAGGTGCCCTGCCACTGCACAGAGCTTCTTCAGTCCCCATGGGGTTACCTCCTGTTTGCTTAGCACCCTGAGGACACTCTCCTATGTCAGTGTCAGTCTACTACACTAGAAGCTCCATACTAAGCAGCAACAAATGTTTGTTGATTTTGTCTAAATTTTACCAAGCTACACCAAGACAGTGCTACCTGTTTACAAGCTAGCGTGCTTAGTAGCTGACCACAAACCAGAAAGCATTTGAGTTGTTCTGCTATTTGCTAGACTGTGCATGTACAACTAGTGCCCAGGACTTTTGCACTGTAGCTCCAGGCCTCCATCCTTACCCACATGGCTGATGACTATAATTAGGGATTTGCTTTAATTCTCTGTCACGTTGAATCTCACGTCATAGAAAACCTGTTTGTAAATATGTGAGCTACTAGAGTGCATTTCATTGTATAATACTAAAAACCCAATAGCACAGGGTTTACGTGGCTCCAATTGCCTACAGGTAAGACTTTGGAACATAGAATGTTAGACCTGGATGCACACTATTCTAGGGAACTCAGTCTCGTGAAAGAACTTCTGTTTTGTGTTTCCATCAGCACCAGTTGAGGTGAAAGAAAGAAGGAATACTTTCATCCTCCAACCTAGTAAAAATGAGGTAGAAATTTCTTACATGGGAGCCTTTTGTAAAAACTTGCCCCATCAGTCCTGAGTTCAGTGCCTATGCACAGTAGACCCCTCGTTTCTATGTGACCAAGACCCAAGATTGTTAGTCTGCTTGAAAGGCTACTTACTCACCCAACTTTACTATCTCAGTTCATTCTTGAATACAACAAGAAAGTTGGAGAAGGAGAAAAATATCACTACACATTTGTTTTGACATTGTATCAGTCTGAAATAAAGTCTACCAGTTTCCTTGAATGAAAGATTGAAGTAGGACAACTTTCTTTTTTCTCCAAATGACTTCAATGAGGTTGTATCATTTAAATATTTTCTTTGAAGTGGGTTTGAAAACTCCTGGTCACACCCATTCAAGGGTGTATAAAGGCCTTGGTTTTTCAAACCACTTGTAAATGATGAGAAGATTCTTTGCACCTTTGCAGCTAGTTCAGTAACTGTTCTACTTGTTCTAATCAGAGCTTAATTTTATGCTACTTTCTAATGTTTCATCATCTTTCCTGTGTGTTAGTCTTGGTTCCCAAGTAAGAATACAAGTTCTTTGGCAGCAGGGCCTATGTTTTATTTTTAATTTGTGCTAGACACAGACAGCCTATGGATACCCTGTATCATCAGAGGTTACTGAGTGGTTTCCAAGAGCATTTTCATGTAGAATGCTTTCTGGATACCTATTTGCAGATGAATTGGAAGCACACCCTTCCAATGACTCAGCTTTAATGCCCCCCCCCCCCCCCTCTGCAAAAAAAAAAAAAAAAGTCCTCAGTGGACTTGAGAACCCACAACAGAATTTGAAACAGTCTTCAAATTCTTGGCATTTCCCCCCCTATTTGTACATACAATACTAGAATTATCTTTGACTAACAGTCTGCTTTCTCCCCTCAAATTACATGAAAAGCTATTCCAGAACCTGGTTTCTCTGGAGTGCGTATGAATTTATATTCAGTAGAACCAAATGAAAAACAAAAATATTGCCAGGCAAAGATAAATCAAATGAGCCTCTGCTTTAATAGTTAAATAATACGTGTTCATCACTTGGCTGACATAACATTTCATAAATATAGGCAGAGGATGGATTATTTAATGATGCATCTTTTTTAACTGGCATAAGCAGAATTATCCAAGATGATCTTTATCAGAGTGCTGAGATCCTTATATATGACTGGCAGTTTGCTCTTGTAACATTGATGCTAAGCACAAAAATGAAACCCACCTAAGACACAGTCCCCCAGAAGATACTTAGTGAAAGTGAATAAAACAGAACAGTGACTCAAATGTGATACTTTAAAGCAGTAGGAAGCTAACAAGCAAGAAGGAGTCAGCTCTGGACATGAGTTGTCACATCTCATCTAACAACAAGTTTTTTCATAGCCAGTGTGATATGGTTGGCTCCTTCGTGCCTGATACATTCCATCCTGGTCTAGAGCAGGGAACCCAGCATGGTACATCTCTGTAGTTCTGTAAATAACCAACATATCCCCTCACAATGTTAATGCAATCTATTTTCTGAATTGTGCTTCTGTATCTATATCTGATGTTACATTTTTTCCCTAGCAAATTTACTTTTGCACATATAGTTATGTTGAAAAACTTTCTCCTATGACCTTTTCTTACACTTTGCAACCAATCTCTTATTTTCCCCTGAAAACTTGAATTTTCCCCTGAAAACTTGAAGCATTCTTTCATACTTGGCTAGGCCTTAGTTTTGATTGAACTGGTTTGCAAGTAAAGTCAGGTTTGTTTGAGAGGTCCCTAACCATGGTAAAAGAGGCAATGACTTCTTTGTGAGATGATGTAGGTAAATTTGATAGAG